ATTGCAAGTGGAAAGTAAAGAAGGTACGGATGGATTCAAGAGGACCGTTGGCTGTTTGGGAGAATTTCAAGTCTGGTGCCAGGTGTGAGGCTCGTGCACTTAGACCAACAAGAGGAGCATGCTTCAACATTCTTAAGTATGCCATCTGAGCGCTTCATGTGCAAACATATAAGGGCGCTGATTGGAGATTGAACCTCGTAATCAACGACTATGGAAGTTCGCAACATTTCGAATGTTGTACTTGTACCATCTTTGCATCCACAAGTATGCACCCGAAATAGGCCTGCACCTATGCGATGTTGCATGACAAGCGAAGAAGAGTGGCCTCAGCATTGTGAAGAGTGTTGCAAAATGCGACTTGATGCTGCTCAATTACCCACTTTTCTCGCTACGGGCAAAGATCATTTGCCAATCACTCCTTTCAATGTCCCAATTGTAGAGCGTTGCATGTTGGCTTTCAAGCTGTAAGTATTCATTTGCTACACTACCCGATCGAACTCTTGACTAGAAAATTGTGTCTGATCGTATCTGTTCCCGGCATGAAATGTACATGTACTCTCCAAAATGTTTCAACAGAGAAAGCGCAGTGATTGAAAAAACATATCTTTCACGTTATAAAGTACATCTGCTCTTTTCGCAGGAGTTTCCATCAGAAGGCACATGAGGGTCCGTCAAAACAATATCTAAAAGCTGGGATAGTAACATGCTGCTGGTTCAATCCATCGATCAACCGACCATGCACTTCTTTGAGATTTAATCTAAAGCCATGGGTCGAAGCTTGGAGCGGTGCAACTCGGGTCGTCCTGGCTGCTGCTGAAGGTATGCTATGGATGCTGGGATTGAGAATTTGACATCGCCGACTTAGATTTCATATAGGCCCGCAGTCCGCTGTTATTTTGCTTGCAGTCGAGGCTGAGTTTGGTCGAGAAGGTCAAAAATGCGTGCACGTATGGCCAAAAACTGCGCATACGTAACTGGCCCTACGAGCATACGTGTGCGAGGCGCACATTCTTGCCCTCAAAATGTCCCACTCGGGAACAGACCCATCGGACAGACCCCGTAGCGGGATTTTAAGGCCACCGGCAGAGACGGAAGGGGGGACACGTGGCACCCTGAGATTGGCAGATTTTATGCCGGATTTCAGATGGTTAGTTGCTGTGGCGGTTGCCGTTATCCGCGCGCGTGGTACCTACACTGGCGACGGTTGTTGAAAGCCACGGGTAGCTAAACTTGGAGTTAAATCCAGGTAGGTAGGTTGTCGCGACCTTGACACCTCCACCCGCTTTCAAATGAGCGATACTCAACAACGTGCAGGAGTGTCAACAGTGAACATGCACTACGGCACTCTAGTCTTTGCACTACTGTAGTACTCCGTCGGAGTGCTGCACAGTGCATATGCCGCGTTCCTAGATGCCAGCAGGATGCCAGGTTCGTTGGCAGCAGCTTGTAGGATAGATGTGAGACTCATCTGTGCACAAGCTCTTTCTCGATCTGCTCTGATTACTCCTACCCCGAAGAGGCAATTCAATACTTCCATCTCAATAGACCCATCGCCAGAAGAATGGAGCATGGTCGATCATGGAAAGCGCTCTAAGGCGGTCCCTACTGAGCCGATGCTTAGATGAGGACATGCCCCAAGCTTAAGACGAGCACCGTAGCGCATCTCCTCCTGCGAAAGGGAGAAGCTGAACACCTCCCTCAGGGTGAGCTAGAACCCTTAAGGACCTGAGGGCTCCAGCTTTGTTGCAAAAGGCTTCAGCACCGCTGGTGACCAAATCGCAGCTATTGGGAGACAGCTTGACATGACATTACCAATCTGGTTTTGGAGCAGTCATAGACAATAGATGACACGGAATCTTCCCTCTGATACTGCTGACATCAGCTAGTTTAAGGCTCAGCTGTAAGGGATCAGGGTCACACGCCTGGCTTCCAACAATGGGCCTTCCAGTCATCACAGGTCTTGCATTGATGCTCCTTTTGAACATCCCCATTCCCACAGAAGCTGACGATCTAAGCAGTGGCGAAGCTTATCAAAAATGCTCGCTTGGCAAGGGGCTTCCCAGCTTCTACACCAGCAATGTGGACAGAGGCCAGAAATGCGACAATGGAATTCTAACCACTACGCCACAATCTTTGACGGATCAAAGGCCTTTTCTAGTCAAGTTGACAAACGGGACTGCAGCTGACGTGGTTGATCAGATGTGCTCTGGGAAGTATAATGGAACGTGTTCCTTCAAATACAAGGCCACCATCCATGGCATGACAGTGCTGATGGACCAGAGTACGCTGAAGGGGTTTATGTATGATTACAAAGAGTTCATCGACCATGTCGAGGCTGTAGGAACAGCGTGGGTAGGAGCTGTCAACGTGGAATCATCACCACCGTGGGGTCTTGACAGGATCGATCAAACACCAACGCAGTCAAAACTTGATCAAAAATACACCTGGGACACTACCAGGGATGGCTCGGGGGTGCACGTTTACGTGATTGATACGGTAAGCATACCTCAATATAATTTGGCTGATCTGGCTGATCACATGATGAAAAGAGTGTCCAAATAGCTGGTAAGAGCCTGGAACAGCTTTTCTTGGAATGCAGTATTATGACACAGGATTCAATGGCAAAGATCAAGAAGTAAGGCTGTAGGAGATGGTAAGAGAAACCAGAGACTTTATCGCCTGCATTTTGCAATGCTGCATGTTTGGAGCTCAACCAAAGCAATAGCTGCCTGCTTTTACTGCCCTGACGGGGCTTTATGAGGCTCCTCAACTCACATCCAAATTCTGATGCAGGGGATTCGAGCAACTCATAAAGACTTCTGGTATCCAGACGGGAGAACAAACTCGTCAGGATGGGCTCTAAATCGAATTGGCAATGGCGTTGACCTGGTGGCTGACGGGCAGGGTACAAACGATTGTCACGGGCATGGGACTCACTGCGCTGGTGTCGTAGGGGGGGTCTGGTCAGGGGTTGCTAAAGAAGCTATTCTTCATCCAGGTAATCTTACTCAATGACAAGCAAGTATGCTTCATGCTGTCTCACGCGATCTACAGATCTCATATCTTAATTGTCAGGAACCTTCGAAGTGCTAGTGCCGATTTGATGTGTTGACAGTACTTGCCAGAGACCTGTTCAAACTGCTAAAATCTGCCATGGTGGCATGTAGAACGTATCGATTTCCAATTTTGGGTAGTAAAATTGGTAATCTGCAAAGGAAACTGGTGGTATCACTTACTTATCCTGACATCTTATCCTTGTTTGCAGTTCGGACCATGGACTGCAACGGTAGCGGCTCTTATGACGCAATCATTGGTGGCCTGGATTGGATTGGACAGAACTACCAGCTCCCAGGAGTTGTCAGCATGTCCTTGACAACCCCAGCTTCTCCAACTCTTGATGCCGCAGTTGCAAGTCTAGTTGATCTGGTAAGCACTCCAGCAATTAGCTCAGACTGCGGCACGCGCAGAAATGCCCTTACAAGAGTCAAAAGCCGCACTAGACTGATCTAGATGGCAGTAAGGAGAGCAGGGTTTTAAAGAACACCGTCCTTCAATGCATCTCAACCTCTTCGTAGCTGGAATCGATGTGGAGCAAAGTGTCTACGTTTGGGCTCGACAGGTGCGAAACATGTGACGCGAATCTGGACATGAACATCTGTTGTTATATGAGTTCCATTCACTGAGTCAAGAGCACAGTCTCTAAGTAAAAATGAGCTCCTTATACAGGGCCTGGTGGTAGTTGCCGCTGCTGGTAACTACCACGCTGACGCCTGCGGCTACTCGCCTGCTAGAAGCTCGGCCGTCATTTCCGTCCAGTCGTCGAACAACATTGACCAGCAGTCGTCCTTCTCCAACTACGGCTCATGCACTTCGATCTTCGCTCCGGTACGGATCGAGCTCGACGTGCCATTCTTGATCAGCCTTTATATTTTATGGGGAGACTCCTCATCATCTGGATTGCAGTGCATGCTGATCCAATTACTGCATCAAGTCGGCAGCCGACGAACATGCTTGTAGTTGTCTTACAATAGGAGCGCTCGTGTTTATGTCTTCAGAACAATGATCCGCTGCTCGTTCCTTTCCGCAGGGAGAGGTTATTAACAGCTGCGGAATTTCATCGGACATCTCGATTGTCGCCCTGTCAGGGACGTCGATGGCATGCCCAGCTGTGGTAAGCCTTAAATCGACGCTAACATCGTCCTTGTCGGTTGATCGGTGAAGGTGTTTGACGTTGTGTTAGCAGCAATCTGCTGGTACACCTTCTTAGCTGCGAGCAACCTGTCGTGGTACTTTTCGGTGTGTCTCTTTTGACACGGATCACACGCGTACAGCCTCTCAAGTAGTTCCCGTCTTTGTCTGCAGGCTGGTGCTGCGGCTGTTTATCTATCTCAGAACCCATCGGCCCGGCCAGCTGACGTGAGCCAGGCCATCCTGGATGCTTCTCTGCCGTCAGCTATCTCCGTGACCTCAGGTTGGTCAGTCCTTACATCCGGAGCAAAAAATTGTGTCTCACGTGCTTTCTGCCGCTGCCTCGAAAGCCTGTACGTCACATCCTGATCGGTAGCACCACCAACATCACGTCCTCAGCTTTACCAAAGGCGGCAGCTTTTGCCCACCTTTCAATTGATTCCAAAGTCCTAAGTCGAGCCCGCAGATTAGAAACCGAGCTTCTGACTCACCCTTCCCTCGTGCCAGATACTGCGTCGCCGAAAAGACTGCTGAACATCAACATGCAAACCCCCTACATGACGGTCAGCCCCCGTACAATTGTCCAAACTGAGAACTCGACGGTGACGATCACAATAAGCCTCAGCAGTGCTCCGCGCTACAACGTTGTTGTGCAGTTCGGCCTGGGGGACTCCACAGTCGGTGAGCCTATCTTTGACCTTGTTTTTCCTCAACAGTCGACGGCCTTACAATGACTGCCAGACACTTCAAGATCCAGGGCGTTTTGGCAGCTTCATGCTGGTGCGAAGCTGATGTTTCGATCTGTGACGTCGTGAGGATCTTGTGAGGATCTTGGGCATTTTGGATGCTACAAAAGCAAGTTAAAAAACCTACTATTGTCTCGTTCTACTCACGACTATTCCTTCCATCAGATACATCACGTGGACATTTTGCAAACGGAAAAGCCGTGGAAGTAAACACCCATGCCAGTATACATGAGTTAAAATCGGTTTGCGACCAACTTCGGATGCGAATAGGAAGCTCGTGCATTACACTTCCGAACCTGCTTGTCCATCACATAACTTCCGCCGTACTCGCCCCTTTTTCAGGGCTCTTCGTTGAACAAAGCCGCTTAACCTACTTCAGCCCCTCGGACTGGCGGACCAACCGCACAGTAGTTTTGCAGCTTCTCACATCCCCAGGTAAAGTTCCAGGCTTGATAAACTCCGTTTGAATCTTATACAGGCTACTTCAGCGATGCTTCGAAGTACTTCACGACCACGGCTTGGAAAAGCCCTGTAACTGTCAGGTTCATTCTTCCATTCAATCAAGGTGAGGCTTTGCGACGCAAAGCTTTCATCTTAAGGTTGCACTGGCCTACAATAGCACCCGCTGTTTCTTGATAGATTCAAAAGCGATTACTTTCGCATGCAGGCCTTCTCAGAATGCGTACACGTAATTCCTTCTGCCAAGTCCTGCCTCGTTTTGGACGTCATCCGTCATTTTAAAGGCTGTGGCTCATGTGCAAAGTAAACGGTCCGTTCAGCTTGAGATCCTTCATTCGACTATGATTATATTCTCAGAAAACGAGGTTAGGCTCCACCGTGTTCTCGTCACTTCACAAGCCTAACCCGGTCTCCACTGCTTGTAAATGCAGATTTCCTGGACCACACGACGTCCATGACTTTCACTTTCCTAAGCAAAGACCCCAACTTCAACAAGGTTTTGAGCGGCCAAGTGACAAGTCAAGACACAGGTAACAAGTCTTGCCCTCTTTTAAGGCACGCCTGCAACTAAAACAGCTTCGCGTGAAATGAATCTCAGAGTGTCAGCAGCCCGACAATGGTTTCATAATAAACCAGGTCTCTGCCAATCCGATTAACTTGATGCTGGTCGTTCCTGAACGTTCACTGCAATCCATGCCCCGCCAGACCAGATCGCTGAAGAATTGCAAAGGCTCGGACAATACCGGGAAACAAGCCATCTGGATCGAGCTTGGCATCCTTCTCTGTTCAGAGTCATGTATTGGCCGGAATGAAGTCGAGTTCTCATGCGTTATTCAACCACCGAGAACGCTCCTATCGTTCACTCTATTGTACTAAAAGTTTCAGCCGGCAGAATTAAGATGCCGGACATGAGTTGCGAGTTGGAGCACCGAATCGAGCAATTATTGGTCAATGCAAACCTGTATTCACTTGTGTTGTGCAAAGACGTGTGCCGGCCTTGCGGCGGCACTCTGGACTACCCCAAGGTCATTCCCCGCCTTCCATTCTATCAAGAGGGCTCGACCCACTTCTCCCCCACAACCATAACCACAGCCAGCTTCTCGGGATCTTGCGGTGGTGCGGGCCCCAACATGATCTACATGCTTATGCCTCCTTGGGACATGGTGAGTTAACCAGCCGGATCAAAGATTGTCTATACAGGGCGATCCTTGCGTCAAGATTCAGTTTGGAGTATGCTATGATCGATACCGACGAATGCTGCACATATGGTACGCCAGAAAGTGACAAGGTTCAAAGAGACCGCGCTTCTTTGTCATGGCCTGGCGGAAAGTAACAAGTTCTAACCAATTGCTTCAAAGTTTTGCGTTCTGTCAAGCAAAGTGACAAACCTCTCTTCTCCGCAACTCAGCGACAAGCCTGTTTCTGGTGCAGACCGTGACCGCACATGTCTGCAACAGCCAGTTCGACACAGTTTTGACTATTCTGAAACGGACCGGAAAGACGTCCGCCGGAATCCAGACGGTTGTGCAGGCCTGCAACGACGACTCCTGCAGTATTCAGAGCCGAGTCACAAACGTTGCCTTGACAAAGAATACTGTTTACTACTTCGTGAGCCTCCCAACCTTCCTTCCACGCTTCCAGGATATCACTCCAATTTTGGATGCCGGTCCTCTTGTTTTCGATGCTTCAAAGCTGCTTGTACTCATCCAAGCAGCGTATTCGCTCTGCACTGCAGCACATCAAAACAGTATAAAGAAAGCTGCGATTTGCAGGAAGAACACCGCTCTGATAGCGGCGGGTACCTGAGTTGCTTGGCTGGTTTGCGACGTTCATCCTCGATGCCGCAACTTAGTCCATTCGGCTCGACATAAGGCCCGTTAACAAGACCCTAAACATCAAATGTTTTCCCTTTCAGGTGATCAACGGCTACGCAAAGGACAACGGTCTTTACGGCATCAACGTGACGTCTCCAACGCCTCGTGAGTGCGCTACCTGAACAATCAATACCAGAGGTTTTTGTCACATGTTACACAAAAGTTACTCTTCCTTGTTGTCATGTACAGCGTCCGCTTCCGGATCCGATTATGACCGCGGAAAGGATCCGTTTAGAAGAGGAGATTCTTCTAGAAAGTTTGAACAACTGAAACAGAAAAAGGGGCACCTCAATTGAAAGGAATCTCTTAGCCAATCCCGCTGCTCCGAAAGATGAATTCAACCAACTTTTTGCATCGGTTCAGCTCCTTCGGGACAAAAGTGGCTGGCGCCCAAGGCGGTCGTGGCGCCCCCGACCACATCCAGTTTGACCGTGGCCGAAGCGGCAGTCTTGGCGGAGGCTAAAGGGACAGTCAATATTCTCTCCGTGGACTCCCCCGCACCTTCTTCCCCGGTCATGGTGGACGGCAAGCTCTTCACAAAGTGGAACACGATGGGGTCTCTGCCACCCGCGAGCTCGGGGGCGCCGCTGGCAGAAAACCCGACTGCGAACGCGCCCTACTGGAGCGTCTCGCCTTGGACGGACTGCTCTGCGGAGTGCGGCGGCGGAGTCCAGGTGAATAGACGCTCCTCTTATTGGAGCGAATGTACACTATTGTTGAGACGCCCCATCCGATCCTGTGACGAAGTTCATACACATATACGTGAACCTTGTGTTTCTGCTGCTTTAGAGGGTAGATTGCTACATAAGTGCTTAGGGTCCGCAAATAGCCAGGTGACAAATCTTGACATCCCCTGCGAAGACGAGATCGCTCGAGAATGCGACTCGTGAAACAACGTTCTGAACGAGAGGCTGGTGCCAGATCACAAGTTTCAGCAGCCTCGCGCTTTTCAAGAGCCGACAAGTTCCTCACGCTTCTCTGCTGCAGGATCGTGTGGTCACGTGCCTCGCGACGGACGGCAGCCCGGTCTCCGCAGACAACTACTGCGACGTGTCCGTACGGCCGTCCGAAAGGCAGCCCTGCAATACTCAGCCCTGCATGACGTATTCAGTCTACACTGGGCCGTGGAGCGAGTGCTCTGTCAGCTGCGGCGGCGGCAGCCAGGATCGCTCGTCTCACTGCCAGGTAAGAGGCTCTTGATCATTTGACGTCCTTGACTATAAAACGCTGCAAGTGCTCGGGCCAAAATGCTTTCCTTCACATCGAAGTGCGTCAGATTCGGGTCCTCAAGCATCTTCGAAGGGGCGAAGGTCCTTGTACCGTCTAGGAATATAATAGGCAGCCACGGGAGGTTGGAAAACCTGGACCACTAGAACGCTTTCAAATGTATATCTACAAAGATATGCTGACTTCGTTCGAACGTCCCACAGAAAAATCACTAGCCTCTTGCATCGGGGTTTTCTCATTCTACGGTCTTCTCGCAATCATCCAACGGGATTAAGTCGTGCATCCTTTTCCTCTCAGGACCAATTCGGCAACACCGCAGCCCCCGAGGCCTGCGGCCTCTCGGTGGATGACCTTGCAAATAGAGCGGGCAACACTCAGGCCTGCAACACAGGTCCGTGCGGAGACTACTACTTTTCCCCGGGGCCGTGGTCGGTGTGCAACGCCCCCTGCCAGTGGGGTCACGCAACCAGGGACGTCCCTTGCGTGCAGAGGGCGTCAAACGCGACGGTGGATCTTGGCTTGTGCTATGGAGGTGAGCGATCACTTGGATATGCCGCAGACGACAATCTCAGAGTTTGCCAGGCATTAGTTCCTCAAAATCCAGGATGAACTGTTTTCGTACACGTCACAAGATGATCAGAAGCTCAAGCTATGCTCCGTGGTACGAAGAGTTGTGTAGAACGTAACGTGATAAGGATAGGTATCCAGATGCACTCAGTGTCGTACCAAGAGTTGCCCCGTCAAATCGATTCCTCTTCGCCCCTGCGCAGCCTCCTTGTATGGATCCCCTGTCGAGTACTTCTCCAGCGAGAAGGCCTGCAACACCCAGCCCTGCGGCGCCTTCTCTTGGATGGTCGGCCCTTGGAGCGCCTGCCAATCAGGAAATGGCACGTGTCACAATGGCACGCAGACCCGCCTGGTGGAGTGCCTGGACTCGAACGGCAACACTCGGACACCTGCCACGTGTTCGGAGCAGCCCGCGCCAGCAAATGTCACCACGTGCAGCACGCTCAGCAACTACTGCGATCCTTATGAGGGAGGCTCAGCCTGCTCGGAACACGGGACCTGCGACAACACCGGTGAGCCTTTGCCCAGATCCAGCAGTCAATTTTCTGCAGGGGGACCAAACACCCCTGAAAAGCCGCGAACCATGTTCCGCACCGTCAGATGAGAGCTTTTCCAACTTTGACGGCCACGATTGCATAATCTCGATGTCCCAAGGCCGATGCGGTCCTCGGTTGGTCTGAGGGGGGGGTAAAGAAGACTGGTTAGGAAAAGATTGATGATTTGTTGGGTGTAAAACTCACCTAAACCAGCCCTCTACTACTCTTGAATGGCACTTGGCCGGGACACCAAAAATTCGGGGTTTCGAAGGTGACCCTGTGGAGGTTTAAACCCACCAGTTTTCGTTTTCGGGCAACTAGCCGTTTAGCTGCTGAAATATGGTTCGGGCTGCTGACCTTTTTTCCTGAGGCGTTTGGTCCGCCCGATTTGTTGCTGGGAAAGATCACGAACAGTTTCATCTTTATTGATACAATGAATCGGTTATCCACAGACCTCGAGGCGACCCAATCTTCTCCTTTTCACGGCAGTGAGGATGCTTCAGACGTCTGCAGTCCGAGCTCAAAGGATCCCAAGACTCCTACCCAAGTTGTTCTCGTAAGGATTGCCGCTTCATCGAAGCTCTCGTGTTTGTGCCAGACACTGGTTTGAAGCAAGCAAATCTGAACTAGAGCTCAGATCTGTGACTTTATTTAGCAGGGACCTGCACTTGCCAGGCCGGATGGGGCGGCCCCCTCTGCGACCTTCCAACCGCAGGGCCGTGCGCGGGCGGCCGGCCGGACGTCCGCGGCGCGTGCTGCCTGTCCGGCGTCCTCGACGTCCGCGGCGCGTGCTGCCGGAACAGCACGCTCGCCGGCGCGCCAATGCTCCTGGACGGCGCCGGACGGTGCTGCGCGTCCGGGTCCGTGGACGCCTGCGGCGTCTGCGACGGCGCCGGCAAGTTCGTCGACAGCACCGGCGCGTGCTGCGAGACGACGCGCGACGAGTCGGGCGTGTGCTGCGCGAGCGGGCTGCTCGACGAGTGCCTGGTGTGCGACGGGGACGGCACCAGCTGCGCGTCCGCGGTTACCCTAACCCTGACGCTGACCACGCCGCTAGACGCCGCCGTTAACGCGACGGTGGTGTCCGCGAACCTCGCGGTCGGCGTCGCGGCCGCGCTGGGCCTGGCGAAGCGCGCAGTGCACGTCACCGACTTCGTGGCCGTTAACACGACGGAGGGCGCGGGCCAGATGAGCAGCCCGGACCCGAGCGCCGGGAAGAGCCGGCCCCTGGCCGAGTACGTCTACGTCGATCTGATGGTGCAGCCGCTGGGAATGAGCGACAGCTCAGTCGTGGGGCGGAGCGCGTCTGTCATTGCCGCTCTCGACACGGCTCTTGGCGGCGGAAACGGGCCGCTCGCGCTGAGCCAGTTTGGCTTCCCAGATGGGGTGATGCTCGAAAGCGTGGACCCCGTTGTGAGGCGAGGGATCTGCGGGAATGGCGTGTGCGAGGTGAGAAGCACATTATTTGGATACATACATAAAGGATGGTGGCCTGAGTTATGTTTCGTCCGCAACCTTGGACTCAGAGTGATGCTATTATCTGAAAAGTCGTGCTTTCTTTCTTTGTCGTATGACCGCAAAGTCAGAATTCCGAAAGAAGTAACTTTTTGCTGAGTCACCCTCCTGCCGTGGGGGACAGAGAAATGAAGCACACCGTGACTAAGCTCAATGCATCTGATTAATGAGCATGGCTCAGCAGGAGTGTAGAGTACAGGGATAAAACAGCACGACTCGAACTTTGTCTATGAAAGAGTACCGTTCAAACCGTCCTTAAGATCTCTTGCGCACCCCTTTCTAGATCGGCGAGCGCTGCACGCCGCTCGGCACCAGCGCGAGCGGCCCCGCCAACGACTCCTCCGCGGTGCCACAATCGCCCCCCCAGTGCTGCTACAAGGACTGCCCGTACGTCGCTCAGGCTTGTCCCCTCGCCCTGACTGGCCCCCTCAGCGGCCAGGTTTGCGGCGCGCGCGGCCGCTGTCTCGACGCAACTGGCACGTGCGACTGCTTCGTGGGCCACACGGGCACCGACTGCAGTCTGTGCGTCCGGGGTTTCGTACCAACCGCATCGGGTTTGTGCGTTAACCCGGAAAGTGGAAAGCAGAACGGAACGGTGGCCGGGTTGGAGGGAACCCCAGGTTCCGGGCCCACTGGCGCGCCGTCGGGGTCGGGGAGCGGCTCTGGGGTGGCGGCGACCGCGGGAACGAACAGCACGAAGCTGATCATAGGGCTGGTACGTTTCCGTTCTGGGGTGTCCAATATCAGACAATCTGGATTTTCGCTGCCTTGGACACTCCTTTGTGAGCAGTTGCAGCTTTGTGTGAGATATAGATGCAAGCAAAAGGTTCCGTTTGAGGTACTGTTCGTTTGGGAGACGCCTGTTTGGTGCAAATCTAGGTAAATCTGTTCCAGCTTATGATGAACGCGCAGCAATACGTGAACCATTCGTGAACCATTGTTTTGTGTGTATACAGCCAGGAGGACGCTTGTCCAGACTATTACAATTTGGCCACCAGTTGCGCGCTTTTGAAACGGTCAACAAACCCAGCAAGTGAGACTTGTGCTCCACTTTTTTCCAGGTTGTCGGTCTGGCCGTCGTGATTGTGGCCGCGGCTGCGGCCGCGGTGATCATCCGAAAGAAGCGCACGCCCCGCCAGGGCGCGCCTGCTGCCGCTGCGACTGCGTCCGTCAGTCCCTTGACGGCTCCCACTGCTTCGACTTCCGAAGCATCCCAAGTCCCGACTGAAAAGGATGCAAAGAAGGAGACCGGCGAGTCTGCTGTGGGCGTTGGCTCGCAGGCAGAAACGGCAGAGCCGACCTCCCCGAGATCGATCCCTCACCTGAACGGCGAAAGCACGGAAATAGCTCCGGCACAGCATTAAAGTACAATCCGACGGATGGTTCTTACTCTGTCGTGTGGGGTGGGTGGAGAGGAAGGGAACGCTATTTATAGGGAGCGTAGTTGAGCAGTGCTTGCCAAACAGGTGCGGTCCGCTTGCAGCAATTACGTGTATTACCGGCACTCAGGCGCACGCTTAAAAAAGTTTTTTGTGAGGATAGGGGCGTACAACGGTATGTCTCTTGCCAGACCCTGTTGGCGAATTTGCTGCATGGACGGGCGGATGCCTCGAATTCGATCTAATCCGCAAGTGGGCGCATGGGCACGTTAGACAGTCGTAAGTTAACATCGACAAGACTGGTACGCTATGCAACTCCAAAATAATGATCGACAAGAATCAGGCGGCTTCCTTAGAAATACACGCCATGCTTTCATAGCAGGCTTTGATATGAGAGCAGGAAGCTCTGAGATGATAACGTGCCTTTTCTCTGATTCTCTGCCCCGTTCTGATTCTCGAGAAGGTAGTGCCCCTTAAATTAATCTGCCTCTCCAGCTATTGACCCTTCTTACCCGCAAACGATTTGAAACGCTTCTCCTTACGTCCTTGTGAGCTGATGGCAATTTCTGGTCGAGATCGGTGAGTCTGGTTGCAGGATAGTAAATACTTCTGCCCTCAGAATCCAACCAGCACTCCGTGAAAAGCGAACCAGGGCTTTTAATAGCTTTGGCTTCAAAAATGTAGGGGGTCGCTTCATCGCTTCCCAACCAGCACTCCGAGAAAAGCGAACCAGGGCTTTCAATAGCTTTGGCTTCAAAAATGTAGAGGGTCGCTTCATCGCTTCCCTTGATTCGTCTGTGCAATTTGATGCACCGGCTGCCTCTATAGACGGCGCATCATAGGAACATTGCTTTTTGAGGGTGTCAGCTACTCTGTTAATTCCAACATGTCGCGGGCTATGTTCATGCAGTCCAGGTCGAATTGGATAACCTACGTGAGCTTCCCATCTGGCCAGGCGCTGTGTCCATATTGTTGTTCGTCTGCTCTTTACGTGGGCGCTTGATGTGGCGCTGCACATGGAAGCAAGCTTTACTTGTGATCATTGGTTTTCAGTAGACGGTGGGTTCATCCAGTACGGTTCTATTGTCATGCAATTGAGCAATTCGTTTATGATCGGGTTCCTGACTCTTGACACGTAATTGACGGATGCAACTTTTGAGTATTTGAAGATGTGGTAACCGTAAGGTAGGTACGAGCTATGAGTACGAGCTATGAGTACGCATCCTGATTGCTGCCGGAAAAGGGAAAGTCCGAAGCCCAAGTTATCGATTTCTCAGCGGATAGTACGTAGGGCGCGGCATATAACGCCGAGCGAGCTGCTGCGATGGTCGAACCCGCCCGCCAATATCGCCGCACCGCTCGGGCCGTTACATGGTGACGTCATGCGGAAAGTCAAACCTGCCGTCCGTCCCTAAACTCCTATTGCGCCTTCTGAAATGAGGTGCACAGACTACAGTGTCAACCGTCGGATGCCTTGGTCAAAGTCAATCGGACGGTCAAAGGTCTGGACCCATGATCTGAGATTTCAATGGCAAGTTTGACCCAAATAGCAATCAAAGCACTCATTACTCAATTGAATGCGTGAACATTGCGCCAATCAAAAGTAAGTTTATAACTGAGCATCCAATCAAACTCAAAGCCGCTCATGAGATTCTTCCGTGCAGCTTCTGTTCCAACTTCGAAGTCTGCAATGTGCATCTTGAGCAAGCTCGGATTCCAGTCTCGCTCATGCAGGCTGTCCCGACTCCCCTCGCATCCGATTTCTAGCTACGGTGCCTATCCTTTTGTCGGAGGGCTCTCCTCCTCCCCGTTCCTCACCTTCGAAGACCCACTTCTTGAACACTTGCGGCAGCTGACAGGGCCACAGGGCGGATTTTCTGCTACCCCTATTCTTGATTGATTCGAACCACCCAAGTTTTATCAACACTTGTCCCGCTGCAGAACCCCGCTTTTTCCGCCTCCCCCCTCAAATTTCGAGATGGCCAACTCCCACGAAGCCTCCCCAGAGCCCATTCTCCTGACCCCCGCAACAGAGCCCCTGCCATGGCTCGGGTGGGATCCCTTTAACACCGAGCACCTGGACAAGAAAGTGGGGATCAACCTGCCCCACATTGCGGTGGTCCTGGTGCATTGGTTCATTTCAATTGCGATGAGGGGGCCGGCGCAGATTGGGGCCAAGATCGCCCATGTGGTGCAGTATGTCGTGGACCCGATCCTTGCCTTCTTCACAGGTAAGGGGGCTTCTGAGTTCTATTTTTCTTTGTTGCATCGTTCGTAGCTACAGGGGCCAACTGCAAGTTTGAGATCGAAGTTTAGGTGACTCTACTCATGTTCCCAGTCAGCTGCTTCTTGCCCCTTTTTCAATCCCCAACTTCTTGGTTGCCCGATCTATTTTAAAAAGCTCTTCTTGCTCTTTGGAAGGGAACCGTGAAGATCTTGGTTGCTGTTGGGGAGGTTATAGATTTATTGACTCTGGGCAAAGCTAGGGAGGGGCTTGCACAAGATCTCAATCAACGCAGAGGTTCTGCAACGATTGGTTCCAATCGTGCTTCACATTGCAATCACTAAGTTTGGGCATAGAAGGACAAGGAATTGAATCGGCGTGATTGTCCAATGGCACTGGTCAAACAAAAAGATAGGATGAATGCCTCTGTGCTTCTGGTGTTTGAGCAGGATAGCTTTACTGATCCACCAAATATATCCCTGGCTTTTTCTGTTATGTAATTTGACTTACAATCATGCAAGGCAGTTTCTTGCCAGAGGCAGGAGCAATATACAGCCTTGGCCTTTTCCAGAAGGAAAAGTCCTAGATCTTCGATTTGTGGCAGAAAACAGGCTTTGTTTCTCAAAGAAAGAACCACCTTAATGGGACTCATTTTGCCAAGTCTGCCATGCGTGTATTCAGAGTTTGTCTCTTGCTCTTGAAAGCTTTAAAAGTGGACCGTTTCAAAGGAGCCGAAATTATTCAGTAGTAGATCCTGCGGGTGCGGTGGACCTGCTTTTGAAGAAATTGACCTGGATGATAAAACTCTCCTTTCTGGATCAATATGCAATCATTGATGCACGGATCTTAGGTCACACTTCATGAGCTTCTTGAGGGCTTGCAAGCACCAGCTGGTAGTCACCTAAATTGCTTGATAGACACTTCTTTTGTCATCACAAGCAGCCTATGAGCCTATGACTTTTCATACGATTGGTTGTTTCTCCTGGAACCAGCTTGTAGCCAGTGCTTCAGCAGCCATTACAATTGTCAGAGTATTATCAAACCTTTCTGCTGGGACACCTTTGAAGGTATGTCTTTTAAGGCTGGAGTTAACATCACGACTGGTATCCTCTTATGCATCTTGCAACACTTTCCCAGGTCGCATTTGAACTACTCCTTCTCTTTGAAGGAACAGTGCAAACCACGGTAGCCCGATAAATTGTCTTCATTTCTTGGACCATGTTGTTGCACTAGAGCAACGCAGAATCAGTGCAGGTCGAGCCGCTTCTAAGTTTCACAAATCACGTCCCACGTTTGTGCAAGAAGCCTCCACAAAACCCCATTGGTTTGCTTCAGTCTGCATGACATACCAGCATGCTGCTTGCAAAGGACAGTTTCACTACAGAGAAGAAATTACCGGATTGTTAATGTCTACCTTCATAGGAAGCAATCTTCTGCCCATCGAAGAAGACAATCTCTCTCTTGGCAGGAAGCTATTACCCCTTCGCGGGCCCCTGGAGCGAGCGGCGCGCAATTTGCCTGATCAACAACGCCGATCCCAATTACGGTGTGCCTGAACTGGACGGCAAACCGCTATACAGCCCGGCTGATTTTCCATTTGAGCCCACGGACGCCGACAAAAACGGCTTCCACGAGTGGGTGGTGCATTTCCTGGCGCTGACTATCAAGGTTAGTGACTGGGGTGAGGGGTTGACCCTAGTGGATTATAAAGGACAAACCATAGGCATGGTAGACGAGCAAGTGCTGCAGTGTCTGGGCTTGGACTTGGTGCACCGGTGGGTCTTGCTGCCCTAGAGAAAGCCTGGTCACAGTTAGCAGGTATATTCTAGCCTATTTCTGGGTATGCTATTTGAAAGCTGGTCGCTTCGTTTAAGAATCTGCAACCAGTGTGGCTATTGGCATGAGAAACAGACCGAAGCGGGCCCTGCTCATAAGCTTGTAGGGAGGAGCTCCTCAAGCGCAACCTTTTTGTACGAAAGACTGGGCTAGTGTTTTTGCCTGACATCTGAGTCCGTGTCAGTATTAAGGTGGCCCTGCTCTCGGTGTACGAAGGACACTGCAGAACAAGAGGTTTGCAAGCGGAGACGCTCCCTGATTTTGCATTAAGCTTTCAGATCGACCTTGTAGAGAAGACCCACTGAAGGGATTATCTGTCACCAGAAGGAACCTCAGAAAGCATGAAGTGAACGTAAGCTGTAGGGCAAGTGTTTTAGACCATTCTAAGTGACTCGGATCGCCATTGCGAACCAATATTTCCATCATTTCTTGAGCATCTACTCGACCGACTTCAAACCCTCTGCTGAACCCTCACCCAAGGTTGATCAAGTCCATATGTACGAAGCAGGATTTTAGGCATGATCATACTAATCCCACCATCTCTTTCAGGATCGTCCGTTTTTAGTTCTAACTTTTTGACACGCTTAACCACCCGCCTAACCCACCTTAAATCCTGCAGGCCGCTTACGAGCAACCCGAAGTCATCCAGGAAATCGTGAGGCGCGAGTGGCCCAGCTTTGAATACCTGGAGCACTTCACGACAGCGCCCGACGTGCCGAAACCCGAGACGGACGAGCGCAAAGTCGAGCGCGCAAAGCGGCTGCACCGCGAGAAGTCGATGCGCGCGCGGGGGCATGTGGAGGCACCCACCGCCAGGCAGAACATCGTTAACAAGGTGGGTTTGAAAGCTGAAAACTTAATCGAATGCAGAATGTAGAGATCCCGCTTTTTCCGATGATATCTTGTATAATGTGCAAGCTTTTGTCAGCCCTGGTCGCTATCAGGTTAAACTAGTCTTGTGTACGATGTTACTCTTATGCAACTCGCGTCTTCCTCTTTGCAGGTATCGGCGGACCTTATCCCCGAGACCCACGCGTTCCTGATCAAGAACGGCCACTCCCTGGTGCTCTTCTTCCGAGGAACAGAGCCGTCCAAGCTCGCCGAATGGTGGTCCGACTGCGACGTGAGTCCTCAACCCGTGCCTCAAAGAAACAGCTTTTGTTACCTGATTCCACTTCCTAGACGCCCTGTTTATTGGACAGGACGTTCGCCCTGAAGCGTCTTGGCCATCCGAACCTCGTCCCGTGTGTTCCTCAGCTGCCGTATGAAAGTACGCCCGTCTTTGAGGTTGACCGTTACGTTGACACGTCCGCAGGCAATCCATGTGAAATTGAAGGGAGCATCACACGGGCGCTTGGTCCTTTCTCTCCGAGCTGACTTACTCCCTCGTAAGCCTATCTGAAGCCGACGTCTCCTAAGTAAACGACTTCAACCTGGGTTCCTCCTTGTCCAACTTCCTCCCAAACATCCCCTAACCTCTCCTAACCTTGCGTGAGACCCCTGCGCAGCTGGACCCGTCCAAGTCGGGCGACCTGACCACACCTCTGTGAGTCTCATTCTTCAACCCTTAACCTCCTACAGTATCTCCTAACCTCTCCTAAACCTCGCCTTTTACCCCCCCACGCAGCTGGACCCGTCCGAGCCGAGACCTGACTACACATCCGTGAACATTACTTCCAACCCTTAGTCTTCCATTAACCTCTCCTAACCTCGCCTCAAACCCCCGCGCAGCTGGACCCGTCCAAGTCGGGCGACCTTATTACACCTCTGCGAGATCTGCTCTCGAACCCTTAAACTCTACTCAACGCCCTAACCTCCCCTAACTTCTCCTAACCTCCCCTAAACCGCTGCAGCTGGACCCGTCCAAGCCGGGCGACCTGATCAACATCGAGGGCCGCGTGCACCAGGGCTTCTACGACGCGCTCTTCTACCAGCCGCACGATATCCCCGACGATGAAGGGAACCCAATTCCGCAGCGCAGCATCTTCAACAAGATCTGCGCGCGCCTGCACCAGGAGCTGCAAGCGCCCGGCGGGCGGAACCTCAAGGTCTACGTCACGGGGCACTCCCTCGGTGGGCGTTTGTGCCGCCTCTCTAGTTGTTTATGGAAGGGTGCCTTTTGAAAGCATTTCTCCAACAAGCTCAGGGGCTTTTAAGGTTCCACGCTTCACGGGGCATTCCTTTGGTGGGCGGCTGTGACCACCCGCTAGTTGCTTTCCTTGGCCGCATTTTTTGAAGGCGGCCTGCAAACCGAAGTGCGTTTAAGCGCTCAAGAGGGCCTTGAAATTGTGGGGCGATCCCTCGGTGGGCCGTTCTGATGCTTACCTTAGCCCTGGTCTGACGGCCAGCCGTCAGGAACTAATTCATATCCGGACACACCGCCCGGCAGCCGCTCTTTTCCGTGCTTTCGAACGCCTGGAACGCCAGAATCGAGAAAGACTTTGCAAATTCTCGCTCTCGTCAAAGACGTTGATCGTCACACAGTGCAAATCTCGTCGCTGGAGGCGGCCTGACGTCCGTGTTCGCGCACACGCTCGCGCACCCCGGAAGCACCCACCTCTGACGAGACCAAGGGCCTAAAACTCTTAACTCGAAGGCTCTGAAACCCTCACGGTTATCAATAACCCCAAAACTCTTCCAGGTGGCGGCCCGACGTCCGTGTTTGCGCACACGCTCGCGCACCCGGGGAGCGCCCACCTCTGACGAGACCAAGGGCCTAAAACCCTTAAGTCGAAGGCTCTGAACCCTCACGGTTATCAATAACCCTAAAACTCTTCCAGGTGGCGGCCTGACGTCCGTGTTCGCGCACACGCTCGTGCACCATGGCAGGGCGCCCTCCGACAAGCCTAAGGGCCTAAAAAAATCACTCGAAAGCTCTGAAACCCTCAGATTATCGATAACCCAAAAAAACCCTTAATTTCGAAGCTCTGAAACCCTCAGGTTATCAATAACCCTAAAAGCGTTCCTGGTGGCGGCCTGACGTCCGTGTTCGCGCACACGCTCGCGCACCCCGGCAGCGCCGCCCCCCTCATAAGGTTTCTTAAAGACCGGAGATGCGGAAGCCAAACAATACAGCCAAATTGAAATACTAATAAGACCTTAAACCATCCATGTCTTATCCAGGTGGCGGCCTGACATCCGTGTTTGCGCACACGCTCGCGCACCCGGGCAGCGCCCCCTCCGACAAGCCCAAGGGGCTCCCCCTCACCGTGGGCTTCGACTCCGCGAAGCTGATCTACCCCCACTTGGCGGGCGTGGTTTCCTGGGCGGGCCCGCTTGCCGGCAACTACGACTTTGCCGAGTTCGTCATCAAGCACTATAAGGGGAAGGTCTTCCGGATGGTGCACTCTTCGGACATCGTTACCAAGGTCGGTCCGCATGCAGGATAATCTGGACATTTGTCCATGACTGCGTTCGTATGTTTAAGAGTCGTCCTGTTGCGTCCGGTTGCTCATTTGATCGTCCTGCTTGCGGCCGGATAATCTGCATAGTCATTTTGTTGGCGTTCAACTTGTTCAGAATCACGTTCAGCTGCGTTTGCATCGTTGAAGAAAGTAATCTGCTAGCGTGAGATCCTGCAAATCTGGCCCAAAGCGCGTCCAGTTGACTGAAAAGTAGGTCTGGTTTGCGTCCGAGAATCATTGGAGGAGCGTCCGGATTGCGCTCGACATATGCGCAGAAGCTGTCGTGTCCGTCTTCGATGCATCCGTCAGCATCCTTTGAACTTTCCAAACCAATGAAGAAGGGGCCGAGTGCCGTCAAAATGTTAGGCAGATGTGGACAGTCGGCTTCCGTCCGAGTTTCAAGCGGGCGCGTCCGAACTGCGTCCAGATTGTCCACAAAGACCGGGTTCCCTTGTCTCCGTTTCAGGCCCTAATGCCCTGAACGTGGCACAGGATCCGAAATCCCAAATTTTAACCTCTTCTCTGACTCCATCTAGCTGATCTATTGAAGATCTGCTGAAGATTCTCAAACTCCACTCTGCTGAGGATTTTGATTTTTCCGCAGATCCCCGCCGGCCTTGGGTACTACCACCACCCGCAGGAGTACTTCCTCGCATACAACGGCGACATCTACAGCGACGCGGAGGTGAGCCCCTCGCTGACGCCACAGCAGCGGTTGATGACGTCAGGGCGGTGGCTCGCCCTTTACTTCCAAAGCTGCGGTAACGCGGATTAGACCGTTCGTAGGGAGGGTCGGGCACCAAATCTGGCGGACTCTTTGCTCCTCCAAGCTGCAGATACGCCTCCATTCCGTTTCCTTTTTCTGTAGAGCCGTAGAAATTGAACCTTGATCCAAAGTCCCATGGGTCGAGGAATCGGTGTGAGAGCTTTTGAATCCGTGTGAGAGACATGGCAATGTATATTGTAGTTTCCTCGATTTCATGAGCGACTGCTTTGCTGACTCACGAATGTACCCGGGTTTGGGATAAGGTTAGCCTGCGCTGGACCGCGTGATAATGAACTCGGGTTTTTGGCTTCGGTTTTCTCCCGAGCATTTCAGAAAAAATTTTAGGAGCGGTCAACAAACGATGACGGTTCGTTTTAGAAAGTAACGTTTAGTCTGCTGCAAGCGATAAATGTTTCAATCTTGAGGTTCGGCATCGGGGGTGTCGAAACAAATACAGGTACGGTACCACGAAACCGAGAATTATTACTGGCTTGCGTTCTGCAGGAGATCGAGGCATGGCGCATTTTGGAAGGCGACTTCTTCGACCTCTTCTACGTGCAGAAGGCGCTCTACGGCTGGACCCGCTTCGCCCCTAACGGTCGGTTTGTGTTAACCCGGACGGCTGCTACTAGTCAAGACCATAACCGGATTCTTGTCTACTTGCTACTGACCTGTCAGGACGTGAAGCACAAGGGGGTGCCACGCTAGGCAATGCTTTTGCGAATTGGCAGTATGCCCGGTCGAGGCGAATGCTGATGTCTTCTGGAACTGCGGAACACTGTTTGGCTGGTCAGAGTTCTCGCAATTCCCGCTCAACTCGCGCATGATGCCGCTTAAGCAGTCCGGGAATCTATAGTCTCTGAGTCCCTCAGCGTTTCTATTTTTCAAACTCACTTCCCCTGAAAATTGGTTTTGCTGCGGCCCATTGCCTTCTCGAACCCTCCAACGCACGACTCTTCGAGCAGATGCAAGGGCGGTTGTAAGCCTTCGTCCGGCCGACGAACACTTCCGAACTCGTTCGCGGGCAACAAATCCGCAAACCACGATCCCAACCCTAGATCCTGCACCCTTCACCCGATAGGTCTCGATTTCATTTTGACTAAGGGCATGTTGACTGAGAAAAGCACCCGAGGGACGGGTGGGGTTGGTTTGGGGGTTAGGGTGCGTATGGGTGCAGAGCGTGTGTCTCTTACGGGTTCAGGTTTTAAGGTTTGTACGTGCCCCCGAGCACTAATCCTGCGTTAACATGCGCTTAGTCAACAAGAAATCAAGAAGTACCTTGATTCCTATCCCCGGAGTATCGTACTGCTTTCTTGTTTCGGAACCTTTGACGCCAAATAACCAAATATGAAATGTGAAATGTTCGGCAGACTCAGCGTTACCTGCTAAAACGTAACGTTATATCGACCACTATCGCGCTTCAGATATCGCTTGAAGATTTCAGCAGGCCATATTATTACTTTGCCGAAATTACAAAGCAGTAACACGGTATCAACCGTAAACGCAGACAAGCCGAAACTCTTCGGTCCTCTCTTTGCAGGCGTGCCCAGCGGCCTCCCGTTCATGCCCGACGCCGTGGCTTGGTTCTGCCGCAACAGCGCGCGCACCGTGCTGCGCGTCATGTTCTACTTCCTGGGCTTCATCGTCCCGGGTGAGGACCTGGTTCTACTTGTCGCTCTCGCGGGATCCATCGCTTAAGTTTAGAATCAGGTGTATGAGTCCTGAGGAACCAGCCTTATCGAGCTTCTACGTTACCCCGGGTGAGGACTTGATTAGTCGCGGGGATTCATTGCCTGAGTTTTAGAATCGAGTATTTATCGAGCTCCTACATCATCCTGGGTGAGGACCCGGTTCTACTCGTCGCTCTCTGGCAGCGCGTGCCGCCGTCAGGAATCAGTCGCCTCTAGTCACGATCTACAGGCGTTTTGAAGAGGCCCTCACATGCAACGGGCGGAAAGACGTACCAGCGATAACACTCCCGTGCCGATATAGGATTAGTCGCTTCCGTTCGTTCAGAATCTCTTCTGCTTGGCCTGGATTATGAACCGGAACAACCGTTCTACTGTTCCTGTGGCTTGTGCCGCTCCTCGCCATTACTTGGACGCTCCTGAAGTGCCATCGGAGGCTTTTTCACGCACTCCGGACGCTCCTCTGCATAATTCGGACGCTGTCCCCTGTCCGCAGGCCACACGGTGTCCGGCGTGACGGACCACTGGCCGTGCGACTACGAGCAGAAGGTGCGCGTCGCGGCGCTCGCGCTCGGGAGGCTCAAGAAGACGCCCCCCGCGAGCGCAGCAAGCTGGAAACCACCAACATGGCGCGCGCGCGCCACCTCTAGTTGCGCGCCGCCGCCGGTGCGTGGTCGCGCGTGCGTCGTGAGTCGTCGTCACGTCGCGTACGTTCCGGGAGTACGGTCGTTGGACGGTCCGTTGGGGACCTAA